AAAATGAGGGAGGGCCATGGTAGCGCAGGGGATAGAGTGCTCGCCTTCTATTGAAGTGCACCGGGTTCGAATCCTAGCGATAGCTGATTGATACGAATTCTGCACTCGGCTCCCACCTACCACAGTGCTGACACAAAATATCCTCAGTGGTAGACAAATCATGTGTTAGAGTCCTCTTGCCATCAAGTTAACCGTGGGCTGTTTTCGAGGTCTTACTCTCTTTGTAACGTAAACGCGGGTTAGTTCCATCAGAAAGTCCTCCACGAAGGCAAATTTCACCTGATACTTGATTTAGGAGTTCATTTGTTTTCTCGATAAGGTTCAAAATTACAAGGCTAAGGAATTGAACATCGGTAGAGATGCCAACTTGCTCCGAAGAGCGAATAAATAATTTTAGTTTGTAGTCTTTTGATGTATGATTCTTGGTTTAGTCGTATAGGGTTTTTACTCACCACTACTTATAAATAATTCAAAGGCTTATGCGAAATGCCATTTTGTTGCAGTTGAGTCTTTTGAAAAGTTGACAAAATTAACCGAAAGCAGCTATTTCAAAAAGGTTTACCGATGTTCTGGGGTTTTTTTCAAGTTGTTCTCTCTTTTCATTTGAACAATTTTGCTTCCAATTTGCTGCTAAAAAAAATGCGTCCTACTTTGCCTATAATTCTGATGGAAATAAACAAATAGTAGCCTGAAAATGTCCGCCCCACTATAGGGCGCATCGATGCATTGCGATCGCGAATTATATATGTATATATCTCAGAAGGAGAAGATTAAAACGAACATTGGATCAAATTCTTGAAGTAGATTATTAATTCCCTGAAAATGTTAAAATAACAACTCGGTTGGGTAACTTCCCAAAAAAAAGTAACTGATTTGATCCAATTCCTAAATTATTTCAGTGAAAAGATAAAATAATATTGTTTAGATGTTACGGTCAATGTAATAAGTTAATATTAATAATCACCAGTTATTACTAAAAATAGTCAGTTAATGTAAATAATAAATCGGTAATTATATACAGATACCAACTTGTTCCGGACAGCAAATAAATATTTTCGAGTGGTAGTTTATTAATTGTGATTCTTGGTTTTATAAATTAAATATATTAGCTTTTTATCCACCACTATATCTAAATAATTCGAAGACTTATATAATTCGACACATCAATAAATTTTAGTCATGCATACCCTCCAACTTATGAGGATTTTGAAAATAATTCTTTCTAGTGGAAGTGAACCAAAGTAGAAATTTTTAAAGCAAATGGATCTCTCATAAAACTTTTATCAGAACTTAAGAATCTAGCCATATGGCCTGCACTTTTATAAGTAATAATGGACAAGTTACGCTAAAATTAATTTTTTTTAAATATTAAGACATTAATCTTGCTACCGTCTGAAAAGAAGATTTCTGAAACTACGGAAATTCCGTAGCAGTTGGAGGGTATGGCTTAACCTTTAAAAAAGTAAGCAAAATTTATCAAATATTTGCAAATTTTAGTATGAAGTTATTTACCGTTTCTTAAGAATCTCTGCTTATATCATTTACCAGTTATTACAAAAAATTACCAATGAAGTTTGGTCAATGTAATTATTTTCAATTCATTTGACTAGAGATTCCCAATATACATGCGTAATGGTAATTTCCCGTGCAAACAGCTTGGCAATATCAGTTGTTTCTTTACTTTGAATGCTAACTCCTCCACTTTGTATGCGTTGTTCATTTGTTGTACTAAGCGCTTGCAGGTTTTAATTGTTTTTTATTCTTTTTTTTTTTCGTAAGGCACTTAACCTTAAAATCACATTAATATTGTTTTTTCCAACCAAATATGTCCTGGCAATAGTACTTAACTTTTAAAATACCTCGGAGTAAATTATAACGGGAAACCGCGTACCAGACAGTGGTATTTTACCTAAAAAAAAACTTCAGTGTAGGCACACCAAGCAAATGCATACCGGCCAGATGCATTTAACGTAAAAAATACTTCAGTATACTGAAATTTATGAACTCAAGTTCTCAAAAATTATCATTCATCACTGGATATGACGACATGAAAAAACTGAGCTTCTTTAATTATTATTTTAAATTAAAACACAAGTATAATTCCGTCAGTTTATTTCACTTTGCTTTTTTCATCCGACTTATTTATTTCGACTTATAAAAATATTGTCAGGAATATGGAAAAACTTCTGCACCTATGTAAACAAATTTTTTTCCAGCAGTAATTTTTGAAAGAATTTACATAGCAAAAATGTTAACACAATTCGAAAATCATGCCTTAAATAAAGGAAATTGTTTCATTTTTTTTTTTTTTAATCCGTGCAAAATTTTTAAAAGCTGATTTCCTTTCTCAGTACCACTATAACTATAAAAAAGCTTTCCTACATAAATATTGCAATCTTATATATTGTTTTCAAAATTGCTGGTATTAAAGCTAGAAAGAAGTTATTAATTTCCAACGTTCATTTTGGTCGATCCGAGTTTTGCCTGTGTAAAAATCACATCATTTCTAAAAGCTTCAAGCATAATCTTTAAAATTTTACCAACAGTTTTACCATGTAAAATGATTCATTACTAGAAGAAAAATTGTTTACATAGAAGTGCTTCTATTATTTGGATCATGTCCTGTATACCTTGAGTTAATTTATAGATTCTTGTGCTGACATTGCTAACAAACAAACAATAGATTAACCAGTTCTCATTAAAGTAAATATCTAAATCTTGATAATATGAATTAAAGTATTGAACAATACAAATATTAGCTATCTATTAGAGCTTTAATAATGCCTTATTTTATTGACTTTTTGATGAAAAAAAGTTGAACAAGAAGAATAATTTGACATCTTTGATTGTAAAAACAATAGATTAACCAGTTCTTGTTAAAGTAAATATGTAAATGCATAAATTGATAATATAAACTAAAGTAATGAACATTCTTAGATACAGATATTAGTTATCCATTAGAGCATTAATAAAGCCTTATTTTATTGGCTTTCAGATGAAAAACATTTGAACAAGAAGAAGAATTTGACTTCTTTGATGGTAAAAACAATAGATTAACCAGTTCTCGTTAAAGTAAACATGTAAATGTATAAATTGATAATATAAGCTAAAGTAATGAACATTCTTAGATACAGATATTAGTTATCCATTAGAGCTTTAATAAAGCCTTATTTTATTGGCTTTTTGATGAAAAAAATTTGAACAAGGAGAAGAATTTAACTTCAGTTCGATTTCCAATAAAAACATTCTTTCTCTCCGGATATCTGTTCTTTAAAAAGTTTCGAAAAGTTTCTTCAATTCTAGACCCGCAATAAAAATATTAGCGCTGTATAAAAACACCGGTAAAAAAAAAGAAATTAGAGTTTCCATCTTTCTCTGAATCGAATAGAAGTCATGAAATATTCATACTACGAAGGGCAGGTGCTGACAACTCAACTTCACTCTTTCTTCTTCAATCTGTTGGATGTGTTTTTCAAAGAAATGTCTTCTTTTTTTTTTATCACGTTTTCCGTTAATTTCTTTCTAAGAAAAATTACTGAAAGCTAAAAGGTAGAATTCTTGATCTTTAATTGGATTTTTTTTTATTGAAAAGTTTACCTGGGCAATTGAAAAAAATTTAAGGCACATTGAATGAATTATCAGAATCAGAAGTTTTCAAAAGTTGGAAGATTCGAAATGGGAAATTAAAAACAGTTGAATGGAATATTGAATGTATACGGAAAGCAGTGTACGAAATGCATTGTATATATAATGTAGCATTGTATACATTATGAGAAATGCTCAAAATTCATGGAGAAAGAAACAGAGCATTATTTTTTCTACACTTTCCGATTTTTTATTTATTTATTTACAGAATTGAATGACAACCGAAGGAAAACAATTTTTATTCACTATAAATTATTGTTATTTTGAAATCATCATTGAAGGAATGATCATTGAAGGAATCATTGAAGGAATTACTGGGCAAAACTCGTCTCCTTAAAAAAAAATACCAAAGTTTCGTGATTAAGTTAAACTAAAAAAATTATAAATTAAATTATGATAATTAACAATCAACACATTTAATAATAACAAAAATATTGATAATGAGATTAAGTTACATATCGCAGTATCAATTAATAAGACGACGTAAAAATTAAAAGCAATTAATTATACAAGATAAAGTCATAAAAAATTCAGGACATTTTGATACTGGCGAGCAAGCTGGAATGCTTTGCTTTTACTTAAGCGATCGTGGTATCGCCAGATCTGAATCTACGATAACATGATGCCAGATCAGATTAAGAAAGAGAAAAGTTATTTTACAGTTTTGTACTGACATCTGATCTCTCTCTCTCTCTCTGTATATATATATATATATATATACAGAAGAGCCATTACATTATGACCACNTCCAAACAAAAAACAATAAAACGAAGTCTAACAAGGAAGACTAGGGAAGTGTGACTCGCCCATTTTGAAATCAACTGGTGGGATATATGCCTTATGTGGATCAATTTTAGGAGGCAACATTCGTTTCGGCCTATAGAAGGTCCTATGAGAGATAAAAAATAATTCAATATATAGAAAAATCCGTATTTTATTACTTCAATGCAGACTATTAGTTAGTGTAATTATCTCATACTCCAACTAATTTTGTGGTACTTTCACCTACTATATAATGCATATTTATTCTCAAAATTGATTTCAAATATTTTATATAGCTGCAGTTTTTCAGAAAAACCTGTCAGGCTAATTTTTAAAAAAAAATTTGCATCACATTTTTTCCCTTCTTTTTTTTCCAAATCAATTGGAGTATGTAATTGCAAATTAATTAATTTGCTAATTAATTAATTAGCAAATTAATCCCTAATCTCCCTTGTAAGTAAAGGAGAGAAGACAACAATGCCTCATTAATAAGGTGTTATCACACTAGAAGTAAATTTTAATTTTGGAGAACTAGAGTTATTGAAGTAAAAATAAATAAATACTTTTTGGCAAAATCTTCTTGCTCAACAGGAGGTGATGGTGGTACACTAGGATCCAAGTGATTGCTGAAAAAATAGAAATGAATTAAAAATGACACTCCAGGATACATTTCAGTTTAACTGTGATTTCATGGAAAACTTACCTTCGATAAGATAAGTAATTTCGATACGCACTTGGTGAAAGTGGTGCTTCGTAATAACTAAAAGAGAATAACAAGCGCACAGTTGTTGTATATATATATATATATATATATATATATATAGCATAATAAATAAGAAAAAGAAACACGAAGAAAATTAAGAAAAACAATAAGTTTTATTTATTGCGCATAAGATGCAAGTAAATAGAACTCATAAAATAAATTCAAAATGTAGAGAAAACAAGGGAAAAATTATAGAACAATAAAAAAAGGGGGAAAAATAATAATAAAAATAGCAAAAAGAAAGACAAAAAATTTTAAAAAATCCGGAAAATAAAATATATAATCTTTTCATCAGTTCACACGATTATATCCGCAAGAAAGAGTGCTTTCTAATATTGCATCAATGTAGCCAAATATAGCTCTTTTCACGAGAAAATTAAAAAATAATAATAATAAGTTCTATTTACTGTGCATAAGCAAGTACATTGAACTCATGAAACAAGTTAAAAATATAGAAACAGATACAGAGATTTTTCAAAGGAGTATAAAAAAATTAATGAAAAAAATATTCACAAATTTAAAAAATTTTTAAAATTAAAAAAAAAAATTTTTTTTGGTGCTCCTTATACTATTTGTATTGATACGTTTTGTTTTGGCTATATTAATACAATATTAGAAAGTACTATTTTTTCGAATATAATCGTGTGAGCTGATGACGTGATTAAATCTTTTCCTTATTTTATTTTACTTCTCAATTTTGTTTAAAATTTTTTAAACTTGAGAATATTTTTTAAAAACTTTTTTTGATTTAAATACATGTATAAATAACTGCAAATACAAAATTGTACTTTTTGTACATAAAACGCTTATAACTTCTAAGCTGTTAGTCTAATCGTTTTGGAATTGGTCTCATTTAGTAGGAACACTTCTAGAGCTACAAAGCGATGAGTTCCTGTGGATGATGAACAATATGAAACCGTAGATTGGCATCTTTGTGCAGACAGACCAGCTGGTCACCGAAGGCGGCCAGTTTTGCGTAAAGATTATCTAATGAGTATTAAAAAAAGTTCATCCTGATCATACAAATGCAGTTTGTATATTGCCATTTCCACATTTTCAGATAACAACACATTTAATCGAAGCATGATCCTCAAAATGAAAAACTTATAATAGAATTGAAAATATACTATCGGCACAAATAGTGAAACTAGTCAAAGTCGAAGAAAGCAAATTATGGCGCTTTTTTCTTTCTTTCCGCGTTCACTAATTTCTAATGCTGCTGCAACGAAAAATTATCTTTTCTTTATCTCTACCAAGCGTCTCCGTTCTTCATGATGAAAATATTGTCGTATTTTTAAGAATTTTACTACGTGGATAATATTTTGATGAAAAAAGTACGTGTTACAGAAATTTCAAAATTCCGTCTCTGCAACCGCATGAGTAGGACAATCGTTTATCTTCGTGGAGGACTATTTGACGTAACTAACCCACATTTGCGTTACATGGAGAAGAAAAACATGAAAACCTTAAACCGAGATTGACGGCAAGGAGACTCTAACCCATGATCCGTTTACCACTGAGGATATTTTAATTCAGCACTGTCGTCGGTACCAGCCGGGTGCGAAATTCGTATCGAGCAGCCATTGCTGGGATTCGAACCCACGTCACCTCAATGAGAGGTGAGCGCTTTATCCCTTGAGTCACCACAGCTCTGAGCGATTCGAACAAAGTCTAGAAAGGAAAATAACCGAAGCTCACTACTTCTTTGGACGAGGAAACACTTTCAATGCAACGCTGAATAACTCAGACTCACTAAAACTGTCACTTAGACCATTTATCCACTCACTAACCCTCACTTAAAGTTTATTTTTATTTATTTATTTTATTGTTTTTGTTAACTTTCGCATTTTTACCCCTTTTCCTCACGTATTTTACACATTAGATATAATTTGAAAAATCTCAGTAAAAAAATTACTAATGAGAGAAACTTTCATTACTTACAAAGTTTGCAAATCTCATTAATTAATCAGTTCGTGATTTATCTGAATAATTGTCCAAATTGTTTTTATGGAAACTCTGACTCAATTGCATATACACTCTTCACACAACCCTACTTTCAGCTGTATCGATCTTATATACAGACAGCTGTAATCAGAGTTCTTCCCTCCAATAAATTTTACGCTTAATTAACCGCTAATTAGGTATAACTAAAGTATCTTAATAAAATAAAACTTAATTAAATCGCAGAAGTAGATTAAATTTACTTTTTTTAATAGAGTTTTCTGAAAACGTGAATGGTATAAATTAAATTAGATACTCAGAACTAAATAACACAATTCATATTTTGTTTTAGAGGATCATTTCTATATTGTGATGTATCAAGGATAAATAAATTGGATGTTTATAGGGCTTGTACAATAATAGTTAAAATATTTATCTGACTTTAGTAAAAGGTAAAAAAGATTAATAAAAATAACTACGTAATATGTTCTTTTTAACATTTAAACTACCATCCACGAGAATTCCCTTTTTTTCCACACAAAATATTTTAAGCCTAAATTCTGAGCTTACTTGCAATCAGAGGTATAGTTGGTTCTGAACTCAGCAGAACAACTTACAACTTTCCGGAGTGGTTGTTGTAATCCGTAGCTTGTTCACACTAATCTCATGACATGGGGCTAGTATATAACTGCATATACTAGCCCCGTGTTATAAAGCTAGTATAGACATCATTTTTTCCTTAAGAAAAAGAGAAGACAATGAAAAAAATATACATGAATGCATCAAAATTAGCTAATATATTATTCAAAATGAAAACAATCGTTCAACCAAAAAATAAATGCTCAAAAATAATCATGCTTAATTAATTAGTGAACTTTCTTTGGTTAATATGTAAAAATTATTCACACGAGCCACCTACTCCTGTACAAATTATTCAGTGTACTTTCTTTTCAAAGAATCGTTTTAACTTCTAGACTATTAGTATTAGTAACCTTGTCTCGAGATTGGTTTCATTCGATTCGGCGTGAAACAAATACATCAGAAACAATACCTCATTTGTCTAGATAGCAATATTTAAGTTTATTTCTCAGTTGCCCCCTTTCTATCAAAATATAACAAGTGAGGTGGTGCAACTTTTTACAATTAAATGGAGAAAGTGAAACAGCTTGCTATAGGGTAAAACTTTTTTTTCCTTTTGGATACCAGAGTTTGGACTATTTTTTATCTATCTTTAACGTACTATTATCCTTTATTATTCTCCCTTTTAACCAAGTTAGCAACCTTTTGTAGATAGGCCTTTGCTTTTCAACCCCATATTATGATGAGGAAGTTGTTTGTTTTGACAAGTTATTCCATATTTCATCCGATGAATCTTTTTTTTTTTTGTGTGTGATCTAAATGCCGTTAATTAATTTAAGAAATTAGGAAACTTTATTTAAGCTAAGATTTTATTAAAGAATCATTATCATTTACCTAAATTCAGTAATATTGCAACTTTCCGTTGACTAATAATGATTAGAAATTACCATATAACACCACATAATAGCTGGCAGCAGAAAAGTGCGCTATTACGTATGTATGATGAAGCTGATTGCCATTACTAATACTATAGTGGTGGTTGAAATATCATCATTTGACTATTGGCCTTTACATGAACATCTTAATTTGGATGTAATAAAATGATAATTATCTCAAAGAAAATGAATATAATCGTTTAAGTAAAAGTTTGATTTATTAAGCAAACATTAGTATATTAAAAAAATGGCCATGCTTAAAAAACAAAATAATAAAGAAAACAAATCCCTTAAAGGGATCAAGATAACATTCGAGAAGTTAAGATTGCGAATAATATTCAACGGTTGGGACTGGGAGGCCCAAAAGGACACCCCCAGTTGCCGCAAATTTGAAATTGAAAGTGAATGAATTTGTTCCCAACGGACACAGGAGCATGGAGAAGAGATCCAAGGTTAGCGAATTATCGAAAAGTAACACAGCCAAAATAAAGCCAACCCCCCATAATCAATACTATTAGCTTTGACTGTATTATAAAATGATAATTGTCTCAAAGAAAGAAATAAAATTGTTTAAGAAAAATTTATTTATTAAGTATTGCAAATGGCCATAATTCAAAAAATAATAAAGAAAAGAAATCCCTTAAAAGGATCAAGATAAAACATTCTCTTACATCGAGATTTTAGTTAGCATACATTTCAGTTGAGATTGATATTCAATGGTTGGGACTGGGAGGCCCAAAAGGGAATGAATTTGTTCCCAACGAACAACTAGGAGCATGGGGAAGAGATCCAAGGTTGGCGAATGATCGAAAGATAACATAGCCAAAATAAAGCCAACCCCCCATAATCAATACTAGCTTTGAAACTACTTTGGTGATCGTGAATCGCCAACAAGACTGTGATATGTAACATATAATAAGATGTAACCATGTAACTGAAGCATATTTGTGGTAAGAAATTTAAGAATAAAGAGTTATAAATGGATTTTTGTTTTCGATTAGGCGGAACAGTGAATTAATGAATCCGCATTATAATTGAAATAAAAGTTAGCCGTTACATTGATCAATAAGAAAAGAATAAAATATTTTATATTCGCTTTAAATAGAAACTAATTAATTGATTTAATTTAAATATAATTAGATTAAGAATGATTAAAAAAATAACTTCAAGTAATTTAAAGAAATTTTAAAAGCTAGGAAATATGTAATGCCAATTGCGGCTTCACGGTATGAAATAATACAAATATGTACATATGTTTTATCAGCATCGCTTTAATTTATCATTCGAATAATGTGGAAACCCCTCAAGGGATAAAATAATTTATTACTCTAAGAAAAGTTTTGAGATTCTCCTATTCCGCCTTGATTTTCCAAGGAGATGCAGAATTAAAATAATGGATAGGTAAGATTAAATAATAGATAGACGGATTGCTTTAAAATAATGAATAGGTAAAATGTCTTATTATTTTATTTTATATTATTGCATATTTTATCCTACAATCCCTTATTTTTGTGGTCTAAATTACAGTCTTGAATTAAATTAAGAGAGTAGAAGACTTATGCTTACATTTTATGATTAAATCACTCAACTATCATTTACTTAAATTTAAAGTTGCGACTTTCAGTTGTCAAATACTAATTAAAAAATACCATAAAATCCAACAACAGAAAAGTGTGTTAGTGTGAACGAAACAATACAAATACATATGTTTCACGCCCAGATGATTCCGCTTCAATTTATCATTCGAATAACGCAGAAAACCCCTCAAGGGATGAAATAAGTGATTACTTAAAGAAAGGCTTAGCGATTCTCATATTCCATCACGAGATTTTCTCAATAGAAATGCAGAATTGAAACTAAGAACAATCTCTGAACCTCTTGGGGGTTGGTTTCTTGAAATCTTGTTACTTAAAAATAATGAATGGTTGAAATTTCTAATTTTTTCTGAGTATATTTACCATTGGATAAAGCCTTTTAATTCTATCTGCTTAATCCACTGTGTTTATGTAAAATAGAACGAAATGGATAAGAATAAATGTTTTAAAAATCATTTATTTTGAAACTTAAATTAGCTGCGTTTATTTTGGAACTATCTATTTAGAAGAAACTAATTATCTATCATTTACTTTGAAACTTAAATTAGCTTTTATAAAAGTATGTGTATAAAAATCAATCTGGTTGATAACAGGATTATAATACCACGATACATCGTTAAAAAAAGTCGATATTTTAAGATAAATTGCAGTATTATTCTAGTATGTATAATTAACATTATTTCTTTATTTTTCAATATTTTCGCCTAACAGATGAAATTTATTAACACAATAACTATCGATATCAATAATACTCGTGAATTACTGAGGGAATTCACCACTAATCGATTGATTTAATTTATCTATTAGAAACTAATTATCTGTCATGTATTTTGAAACCTAAATTAGCTTTTAATAAAAGTATGTGTATAAAACTCGAGGAGCTGGCTGGTATCGGGATTATAATTTCACATCGTCGAAAAATGTCGATACATCGCAATATTTTTTCTAATATGTATAATTAACATTATTTTTATATTTGTCTATATTTTTGCCACTCAAATGAAATTTATTAACATTCAATAACTATAGATATCCATAATACTCGTGAATTACCATTATTACTGAGACTGAGGGAATTTATCATTGATCGATTGATTCAATTCCATCTATCTAATAGAAACTAATTATCTATCATTTATTAACTTAAATTAGCTTTTATAAAAATATGTGTAGAAAACTCGATGTACTGGTTGATATCGGGATTATAATATCACGATACATTATCGAAAAATGTCGATATTTTATGATAAATCTTAATGCCTCAGTAATCTCTCTATTCTCTTTCCCCCTCCGCTCAAGTCTCTATCCTACATTATCTCCGCATAAATAGCACACTTTACGTCCTAAATAATTCAGTGACAGCCAATTGTCGATATTTTATGATAAATCGCAATATTTTCCTAGTATGTATAATTAACATTATTACTATATTTTTCAATATTTTGCCCAAACAAATGAAATTTATTAACACACAATAACTATCGACAACGATAATACTCATGAATTACCATTATTTCTTAGGGAATTTACTATTGATTCAATCTATCTATCCAGTAGAAACTAATTATCTATCATTCATTTTTAAAAAAATTTCTTTTAATAAAAGTAGACGTATAAAACTCGATGAACTGGTTGATATCGGAATTATAATATCACGATACATCGTCGAAAAATTTCGATATTTTATGATACATCGCAATATTTTCCTATTATCTAGTTGGAGTCAATCCTATTATCTAGTCCTATTATCAATATTTTCCTATTATCTAGCACAAGGGGTGCGATTGTTCTTGTTTTCCAGTGGCGCCATCTGTGGCCAAGAATTCGGCTTCTGAAACACCGTACGTCACACCCGTTTATAGGGCGGACTCATTCATTCATCCACGGATCGTAATTTTTACCTGAATCACAGAACTATCGATCTCCAAGCCAGTACCCCCAGAGGTATGGATTTGTTATGGGAACATGGAGGACTGTTGCGATACGACAAATTTAACGTGCATCAGTCACTTTACTACACGGGGAGTCTTCGGCCGGCTGGGTTCGAACCCACGAATTCTCGGACGTGGGCCCAGCGCCCTACCAACCAGGCTATTTTCATCAAAAGTTACCCAGGGTGATCACTTTATTTTACGCATTTGCCAACAATTGCAAGTAGTTTTCAAAGAATTTTTTTTTAAATACCCTGCAATGTATTATCGTAACTTTCGTAGATAGTTCTATTTTACAGCAGTTGCAACACACTATAAGAACTAATAAATGTCCTCTTCCAAGGAAGCTCCATCGGTCAATTCAATGAGTAGCAAGAATCTCATATAATGGTTCTTTCATACTAGATTATGTGACTTTAAATACTCCATTCACAGAGCTGTTTCGGTACAAATTTAAGAGGCATGTTTTAAACACGAGATAAATTACAGATTGATTTTAACAAAAATGCTCATTTGTTTCAGAATCTTACAGTTTCTAAAAAGTGGCATCAGCATACCCATTGACAACTATAAAACTTCCGTAATGTTTAAGAAAAAAAAAATTTTTTTTTAGTTGCAACAAAAATAGTGTAATATTTTGATAAATCAGGATTAAAAAAAATTCCCAAAGTGTGGTACGCGTACCCCCAGGGGTACGAGATTTAGTGGGGGTACCTGTTGTTATGCAAAATATCTTGCAACAAACGAAAATTTCAACAAAAAAAAATTTTGAAAACAAAGCTAGCTATAAAAATTTACGATTACATATTTTTCTATTGGCTATTTTTTGCGGTAACAGTTAATAATTAGTGGTGTAAACAGCCAGTTGTGATTTTTAACTTTAGTGCAATTTTTTTATAGTAAAAAATACATTCATTTTTTTATTAGTGGTACACAGCATTACGAAAAATTTAAAAAAGTTACAGAAAAGTCATAAGCTTGGGAAACGCTGCATTAGGCTAAATTACTTTTTCTTTATTATTTGTTTAAAAATACATTATTTGGTAACATTCATTTATTTCTTGAAATTCGATAATTACAAAATGGCACTTCCATTACCATCACAATGTTAGTTGCAGATAAGTGCACAGTTTGCTTTTAAGTGCTATTTATGCTAGAGAATGAACCAGGTAAGGGATATTTTCAGAGCGGCTATAATCAGGGAAAGAAGGAGAAAAAGTGGTTTCCAAACTAATTTACTACAGATTTATTAGAAGGCAGGGCTATAGACTTTGTCTAATTTTTATTTACCGCTGCTTAATTTGAAATAAAAGTCGTAAAGTATATTAAAAACTAATATGGATTAGTTATGACAAAATTAAAATGGAAGCAAAATCTCTTCTGCTGCAACAAACATACTCATGTTGATGCAACCACTTTACGTTACTTTCCCATATTAAGACCTAATTTAAATGGCACTCCTGAAAATGCCATTTGCTTGATTTATTCACTAGGCTGTACGTTTGTTTAGGTATTCTAAAAAAGTGCCAATAAGGTAAATAATATTTCTTATGTTTAAAATGTTCCAACAAGTAGTATTGAAAAATCATTTTTCCCCCATCATTGTAAAAGACGTGAAAGCGCAAACTTGCAAAAGATGAGTTGAAAACTGATACTTAAAAAGCTGATTCTTGGCTTGGGTTTTGGCAAAATTGGCTCGATTTTTAGCTTAACTATATTTAATTTTGAAATACTAAAAATTCTATAAATTTAAAAAACCAGATCAGTTGAGAAGAAACCAGAAAAGTAAAAACCTTTTTCTTTAATTTTTTGGCAAAATTGATTTGAAAACAAAAAAATAAGCAAAGTATCATTACAAAATAATGAAACAATGAATAACAAATAATATATATTTATTTATTCCAACATTGCTCCACCCTCTACACCAGTAGCATCTTCAAGCGTTAGATCATCAAGCATGTCTTGAAGAGTTATTTTTGGACAATCATCATCAACTTCATCAGTATCGATTGCCAACTTCTCATGATCTGCAGACAATAAAACAAAATTAATAATTTTAACAAAATTATTCAAGAATTTATATTTTATATTACTGCACAAATTAAATCGACGTAAACTTTAGTGAAGAAATAAACTTTTTAAATACCATAATAATCAAAATTAAATAAAATTAAGACCTAGCTACACAAATCAAAATCTTGGCTTAACCTTTATTTGATTGATGTGTAATATTTTCCGTCAGCTACAGGTTGAAATGCTTAAATTTATCTTTTCTTTTTTTTCATATTCTAAGACTAGATTATAAGAAGTTAGATGGTAATTTGTTATGCCCTTAATGGAAACATATTTGAAAAAATTTTCTTTACGAAATTTTTACCCAGATTAATATAGCGGTTTTAAATTACACGTAAATTTTCTAAGAAAAAGCATATCAAAGTTTATATGCAAATGAAATAAAGCTTGGAAATACAAAATATTTTCAAATAAATAAATAAACTTTAAAACAAGTTACATTTTAATTAATATTTTTACCTTTATAGATATTAACATTTTGGCGATATTCAACATCTTCTTCAAGGTCTTCCAAAAAGTCATCATAATCCCTAAAATGATAAAAATGAAGTACAATCTATAAGGAGAGTTTCAATGCTATCAGATATATAATAATCACAAGATGAAAACTTTCAACAAAGACAACAATATTCATATGAGATAAGATTATTTTAATTAGGAAAATAAATAAGTAAGCAAAAAAAGCTTATTAACTGGCAACATTTTTGAGCTATACATGACAAAAATGCCAAAATTGTCTGATATACAATGTATATTGTCTGATATGTGTCCAACTATTTTCTCACAACATTATTCTTTTCATTTACAATGTTTTTTTTTTTTTTTTTACTAGGAAAATGCAAGAAACATGTTAATTTTTATAACAAATGGAAAAAAAATCATAATAGAAAAAAATAACTTTAAAAAAAAGGTACACATTATTACAAAAAAAAAGTCTGATATACAACGTTTATTGTCTGACATGTGTCAAACTATTTTCTCACTACACTATTCTTTTCATTTGCAATGTTTGTTTGTTTTTTTGTACTAGGAAGATGCAAGAAACATGTTAATTTTTATAAAAAATGAAAAAAAAAATCATAACAGAAAAAAATAACTTTAAAAAAAGGGTACACATTATTACAAAAAAAAAAGTCTGATATACAACGCTTATTGTCTGATACACTTGTCTGATATGTGTCAAACTATTTTCTCACAACACTATTCTTTTCAATTACAATGTTTGTTTGTTTTTTTGTACTAGGAAGAGGAAGATGCAAGAAACATGTTAATTTTAATAAAAAATGAAGAAAAAAAATCATAACAGAAAAAATAACTTCAAAAAAAAGTACACTTTATCACACAAAAAAAAAAAAAAAAANAAAAACTTTTTAAAGTTATTCAAGTAAACTTTTAAGCTTATAAGTTAGGATAGAAAGAAATGACTGTGCCATGAATTTTGCCATTTCAATTAAATCAAATATAATTAAACAATAATAAAATTACGATTTCTAAATGCTTCATAATTATATTTAGCACGGTAATTCAGGAAGAGCCATTTTTACCTACACTGCAATATTTCTACCTTAATAACTTCATAGTCTGATTTCGCATAATCGAGCTGTTGTTTTACCTCACTTTTTCCTAACCAATGAATGGCTTTGACAAAAAAAAAATATTAAAGTTTTTTTCATCCATTCTAGCAATATAAGCAGCCTAGTTCATTCTTTTAATTTTATTAATTTTAATGATAACAAGCTCTTTAAAAGAAATTTCTAAATTAAAACGTCTTTAAAAAAAGGTTAGTAAATGAAATTATTAACAGAGATAAAATATTAAAAACTCTGAAATGAGTATTGAAAACATATTATGAATTCTGAAGAGTCTATATATTTAAAAACAAAAAAAAAGACCAAAGTACAAAAGAAAACAAATAGTAATTTATAAAGTCTATATAAGAAAAGGCAATTAAAGAATAAATACAATTAAAAAAATATTTAAAGTGAATACATGTCAAGGCACTGAAAATATAAATTATATTATGGTAAAAAAGGTGTGCATTTTTTATATCAAACCACACTTTTCATCCATACAATTTTCGTTTTAAAAATATTATTGGTAAATATCATTGTGAGAAAAGGGTGTAAAAAGAAAGTGATATTCAAAGACTGGTTCAATAAAAAATTTTCAAAGATATTGTGAAGTTAAAATGTGTAACTTACAGGTCTCAAAGCTTAGAGACACATTAGATTTTAAAAAAAAAATTTAAATCATTAGCATAATGCAATTAAATTTTAAGTTTTGATAAAAATACTGCGCTTAATAATATTGACTTCAAGAAATATTGATATTTAAGCTAGCAATGATAAAAGTTAAACTGATATGCAAAATGAAAAGGATGGGTAAAACATTACCTTTGAATGCTGCTAGTATCAGTATCTGCTTCAATTTCTAAATGTTTCAATTTCCATTTTCTTCTACGATGGCGAGAAGCTTTGTCTTCATAAATTTTCTTCACTAAGACCTAAAAAATAAAAAAAACAGATAAATAAGAAATTTTTTCAAACAATAAAATTATAAAATGCAATTTGAATTTTTTTTTTTAAATCTCAGTAAAAGTACAGTCAAACCCCATGGCATCTAAATCAATCCCATAATTTCATTATAAACTAAAAAATAAATAAAAAATAGATATAAAAGAAATTTTTTTAACAAGTAAATTATAAATGCAATTCGAATTTTTTTTAAAAAAAATCTCATTAGAAGTACAGTCAAACCCCAGTATCTCAAACTTGAAAGAGGAGAAAAAAATCTAAACAATGAAAACTTCAGTTAGTTGAATTTCATAAATAAATACAATTACATGAAAGAAACTTTTCCATTTCATACTTGACAGTAAAATACATAAAAATTAACATGTTTCAGAAGTTAAAAGTTTCTATTGTATTTTTTGGTCTATACAAGGACTTTTTAAAACCTTTCAATTGTAATGAAATTTAGTGATAACAAATTTGGACACAAAGATGTACTGAAGTGCATAGACTATAATAAAAGTTAAGGCTAAACAATTGCATAAATTATTGAAAAAAAATTTTTTTAATTTAATTTATACCTTTGGTGAGATATGTGTCTTAAAAAGTGAGAATTTAAGGTTTGACTTATGCACCATATGTGGACAAAATCCATTTATTTGCATTTAAAAATAAAGGGCCAACGTTGATGAGACACACAAATTCAAAATGGGCATAAAAATAAGGCAATTATTTAGTCCTTTCAGTTACAAGCCAATTACTTATTAAATTAATTAAATTTTATTCTAAACATGTTTAAGTTATGTTCCCTATAATAATCTATAAAGATTCAATAATTTTAAAACACTAATTACTAAAAAACCATTCAATAAATAAATTTAGAAAAGAATTCGACTTTTGAAAGAAAAGAAACTGATTCTTTTTTAAGAAAAAAAACTGATTTTGTTTCTTTTTGATACCCTAGTTGAGTTTATTTACATTCTTGGCTCATCCTACATTTTCAATTATTTTAAATATTTTATACAACAAGAAGTTTATTATAGACATAAATAAAATTAAGTGTTTAGGTAGAAAAAAAAGCCCTGTGATACTGATATGCCATGACCCCTACATTTTAAGGATTTAAGACTCTTGTAAAAGGAGAAACAAACATTCCTATATTACTTTTTTTACTCACAATTATTTTTATTAAATAATAGAGAGCATTCATAAAAATAAAAAACAATTACCACATCTGGAATATTTTCTTTCTTTAGTTTATTATAGTCAACATTGTTAACATTGATCGTAGATAAATCCAACCTACAAGTAAGAAAATACTGTTTAAAAAAATAAACGAAAATATATTACAATTTTTTAAAGACACAGTTTTTATATAAGTGATTGCAAGATAAATATTAAACAGAATAAACAATTTAATTTTACTTTTAATGATGAAAAAAATTATGACCATACTGATCATACTATTAGTCTACAAATAGTGGAGCCTTGGCTTCCATGACCCCTTCAATCCGTTAGGCATTATGGACTGTTTTACTTAGGGGATGGGGGAAGCTGCGATAAAAAACTGTATGCACTAGGAAATTTTCCAAAGGTCACAAAAGAAGGCTTAATTATGATTCAGAATCACCATGGGTAGCAAATTTTTGTAAACAATTAAAAAACATGTAACCTGTTTTCAATGAAAAGCATTTTGTGCTGAGAAAAAACAAAAAGAAAAAACTCGACTGTTTTAATAATGTTTTGATGCAGTCAATGCCATTTTTTGTATAAAATAAATGCTAATGAAAGGACTGACACTAATATATCAATGAAATATAAATTTTAAAACCTTAAAAGTAATAAATTAGTTTTGTTATGAACAGTAATTTTTTCAAACAGAAGTTTTTCTTACAAGACTGTAAAATATGTAACACACTTAGTTGAGTAACATTATTATTAAACTGCTGAACAGTAGTTAGGAGAATGGAATTGGCTGTTTAATTATATGTACGAGGGTTGCTATATTTCTGGCCTAATAATGAAAAAACAAATACAGGGTGCGTAGCCAAATCTTTGAATCAAAAGTAAGCACTTTTTAAAAACCTTTCAAGTACTTTACAAAAATTTTCAAGCACTCAAATGCATATTCAATCAATGATATTATTGAAAAATAACAACTTTTTATAAACAGTTTTAGCGTTAAAAAAAAAACCAAAAAGAAAAGGACGTAAATCGAAACAATCAGTACTTTCCCACATCACCGAGTGAATTCAACTTGACCCTGAACTCAGAACAAAAGTACCCTTTCCCCCCTACGTCAAAAAAGTGTTAGAAGTAAAATAAAATAAATAAGAATAAAATTAAAACGAAAAACATTTCACGAGGATCTGATATTCTCCATCCGAATTGGAGCACTCGGGCTTCGGTTTCAAATGTGCGCGCGTGCGCAAGTCATAACATAGGTACGACAGGAAGTCCGCGTGAATGATTGCGTAGCAAACACCCCATTTTTTTTGTGAAATGCATGGGATCCACCAGATATCACTGAAGGAAGAAAAAAAATTTCGTAAAAAAAGCACTTTTTAAAAACGCTAGATGAAAAAAGCACCTTCAAAAGCTTTTATATACGAAATCCCAAAAAAAGCACTTTTAAGTACTTTTTACAAACACTACGCACCCTGAAATATGTAGGATCGAAATTGGTTTTATTGTTTTTCAAAATATTCTCCATGATGATCAATACACTTTTGCATGCGTTTGAACCAATTTTCAAAGCACTTTTTCCAGTCCGATTGAGGTAACTCCAAAACATGCGTTTTGAATGCATCAACCGCTTCTTCGGGGGTCGAAAATCGTTGTCCACGTAATTTATTTTTGATGTGTGGGAATAAGAA